TAGCTGAATGGATGGGCTTCAGGCTCAGCTAGAGAGCCTGTTTCAAAAAGTAAAGGTGACCTCTCCCTACCCCACATGCATGCACCCACATTGCCAAGTACACACACCACATACACGACACATAAAAAATAAATAAATAAGTGGGCTGTATGATTGATGCTCAGTTACTCTCCCCCTTGTCTTCAGTTTTGGAGGGGAATGGGATGAATCAGGTACCACTTGGTTCTATCTAGAAAGTCCTTGAGTGACTAATGTGCTTGCATAGGCAAGCAGGTCACCCAGTGTGAAGGAGATAGATGCAAACAAAGGCAGAGATGCGTGGCTTTATATCTGGTATTTAGTTACCTTGTGGGCTTGAGTGAGAAGTCAATCTTTATAGTAAGTACAGTTTGTGTCCTGCTATATCAGAGGGAGCTGCAAAACAGGAGCAGGCAGCAGCTGTGTGGCTAACTGGACTGAACATCCATGCACAAAAGACTTTGGTCCTACAGAAAGAGGCAACAGTCAGGACAGTTTTGAGGCACCTCAGGATGAAAGCCACAGAGACTCTGGCTGCAGGCAAAGAAATTCTCATTGGCTGTGACCCAGGGGTAAACCTCTCCAGGATTCACTGGGACAGAACTTCAAAGGTAGCTGGTTGTGCCAAGGTCAGGACCCTGGTGCATGGGACAAAGCCATCTATTTGATGTCCCCCAAAGTGTGGACTCCCCAGGCCTCACTGCAGCTTCCAAGGCTATCAGCATGGTCTACATGGTATCTAGGCTTTTTCTTGCCATCTGGCTTGTAGTTGGATCCATCTTACACTGGAAACAGAGGAAATGGGTGGAAAGGATGGAGATGCTGGGTATCTCTAATCCACTCCTGGCTAGGGCCCCACAGTAGCCATTTTGGGGAGGACCCTTCCCTACAGTGACAGCTCTAACCTCCTATGACACCATTGCTGTTCTTACCCACTCAAGCCTAGATGTGTTTCTGAGATCATTTGTTAACCTCCATCTATCCCCTAACCCTGCTCATCCCTTGAAAAACACCTCCTTTAGACAACTCTTTCCCATGGCTCTGTTCAGAATTGCGTTTATTCCCACCTGAGACTGAGTGTAAAGTCCACATATGAGCTTTCATCTCTGATAACTGCAGACATCTGTATGGGCTTCCTGGCTCAGCCTTTTAACTAGCCAATGTAATCCTATTGATTCCCAGTTTTCTCACCAGAGAATCCGAGCATCGAAGTGCTACTTTTGCTATCAAGCCCTAAGTATCATATTGACCCCTTGGAAGTACTTGACACATGTTGACAATGGATGCTTTTTTATTGCATCATCGGTGTACAGTATGATATCCATCCCTATGTTATTCTTGCAACAGTCCTGAGACAGGACAGCACATGTTACTAGACCAGTGAATAAACAAACATATGTAGAGGGGTTAGGGATACTTATGGTCCTACTATGTGATGGCTAATGTTGGAATAAACAAACATACGTAGAGGGGTTAGGGATACTTATGGTCCTACTATGTGATGGCTAATGTTGACTGTCAACTTGTCATGATTCAGAATCACCCAGCAGCAAGCCTCTATGCACACCTGTGAGGGCTTACTTAGATTAGGTTAGTCTCCAGGCACACTTGTGAGGGCTTACTTAGATTAGGTTTTACTTAGATTAGGTTGGTTCAAAGACTCACCCCAAAAGAGGGGTGCTCTATTACCTGGGTTTGGGGCCTGGGCTGTATAAGAACAGAGGATGCTAGCTGAACACTCAGTTCTGTTTCCTGATTATGGATGTGACATGGACTGCTTCAAGTTCCTGATGCCATGAGGGACTGCACCTGTGAACTGTGAGGCAGAATACACCTTTCCTTTCTTAGGTTGCTTTTGTCAGGGAATTTTATCTCAGTAACAGAAAAGGGGAACTGAGACAACTTCCCAAGAGAGGTGCAGAACTCTGCTTGGAACCCTGGACTCCCGAACTTTATTCTGGTACAGTCCTGGGTGCTCATGTCTTCCCTCCCACCTACCCAGTGAAACTATGTGGGCAGGGGTCAGCACAATGTGGTCCGCCTAGTGAAACCATGTGGGCAAGGGGCCAGCACACTGTAGCCCCATTTTATTTGATGTGGATGCTTTTATGCAATGTGAGAGTTAAAAATAAAATTTATGTAATTGGAAAAAGGGGTCCAAAGAATAATATTACATGGTTGTCATGGTTACCTCTAGCCGTCAACTTGACACAAATCTGGAGACACTTAGGAAGAGGGAACATCAACCAAAGAATTGCCTTGATCAGATAGGCCCATGGCCATGTCTGTAGGGCATCACACCCCCCCCCTTGGTTTTTTAAGACAGGGTTTTCTCTGTGTAGCTCTGGATGTTCTAGAATGCTCTCTGTAGACCAGTCTGGCTTTGAACTCACAGAGATCCACCTGCCACTGCCTCCCAAATGCTGGAATTAAAGGCCACACCACCCGGCACAGGCACTTTCTTGATAAACAGTTAATGGAGGAGGGCCCAGTTCACTGCAATAGGTGCCATCTCTAGTCTGGTGGGCCTGGGCTGTTTAAGAAAGCTAGCTGAGCAAGCCAGGGGAGCAAGACCATAAGCAGCATTCTTCCATGGTTTCTGCTTCAGGCCCCTGCCTTGAATTCCCTCAGTGATGGACAGTAAAGTGTAAGATGAAATAAACCCTCCCCAAGCAGCTTTTGTTTCTGGGTGTTTGTCATAGCAACAGAAAGGTAACATGGTCATTCTATGAAGCTTAGGTTTTCAGACAACAGTTCCGAACCCACAGCAGCTATCAAACAATGGCAGAGTTTCACAGCTGCAGATGGTGCATGAATCTAAAATATCTGCTTATGATCCTTTATGGAAAAAGTTTGCTGGGACAAGAATTTGCCTCCTTGAATCCTCTTATGTGTCTTGGATGCAACTCACTTTTCTGGCAAGGAAATATGGGGAGTAAAACCCCATCACTGGCATTAATAGTAGTAACAGCTTCCACACACTGAAGTCCTCCGACACATCAGGCCCTTTGAAGCCGACATTCCTTAGATGTTTTAACATATTTCTTTCCCACTCACTGTATAGGCCAAGGTTCTCAGAAGAGAAGTAACTTATCTGAGAGCATGTATTAAGGGGTGCAGCTTAGAACTGAATCTAGTTCTTCTGCTTCCATGGACACTTTGCAATTAAACCCAACTCTTCTGAACAGAACTGATGCTCACACCTGCTGGCAAACAGCTTATTTTCATTACCCAGAGCCCCATAGAGGGTCTCAACTCCCACTCCACTCTGCCTCAGTGATGCACATCACATCAGGGCTAACCAGCTAACCAGTGTCAAAGTGACCACTTCAAGCATGAACTGGAGACCTGACCAGGATGGCAAAATGCAATTCAATGCAGGATGTTGAAACCTGTGTGAGTTGGTCAGCTGTCTTTTGGCCACTGGATAATAAGACCAACAAGTTGAGAATCTCTGCCTGGAGGACTTCCCTTCTATGTGTGTTTACATTTACTTAGCGTGAGCTATGTTCTAGACACCACTGCAAGATCTCCTGTTGCTGAGTTCATGCCAGGGGATGGGAGTGCATTAGTGAATGCTCAGAGATGGGATCTTGCAGACAAAGGGGAACTTCCTGTGGCAGGTGTTATCATTCCAGGACCTCAGTGCTGTGAAGAGAAGAAGCAGAGTCTGAGTGAAGATCCATTTACTTCAGTAAAAGTCACTGTATCACTGCTCTGGAGTAAAAGTCCTCTCTAGCAGGCCTCACTTGCTGATGCTTGCTGAGACAGCTCTCTGATCTTCATCTCTCATAAAGCTGGGTTTCATCTGCCACTGGTCATGGGAGGACAAACTTTGCTTAGAGACTGCTCCAGCTTTGCATGTTGGCCTGCAAGATGGCCCCTAAGATAAGTAATTTTTATCTCCCACCACTCCTCAGGAGAGGGGGAAGGCAGAGAGAGATGCTTGGATCTGGGATCTGTGCATATTTCAAACATAGCTTAATTTCTTGCCTGCTCTGTGACCCCGAAGAAGTTGCTCAACTCACTGGAGCCTGGATTCACCTTGGCTCCATAGTTGATAGAGCATAGAATGTGCATTCAGACGATAGCTCAAGGAGCTCATGTTCTTATCGCTGTGCTCTGCCAGCTGTCCCTTAATTATCCCAGCAGCCTTTACATAGGGGTGAATATTAAGCCCATTTCCCAGGACAGGAAATAGACTATCAGAGATGGTGACTTACTCCCTACAAGGACATAGCTACAAAGCAATGGGGCTGGAATTCAAACCCAGGTATGTGCTTACACAACTGTATTCTAACATGTACAAGTACCAGCCTGGGCTTGGGGCTTGGACTTTGGTGCCCTGCTGAGCTGACCCAGGAGACTAACTCTCAGTGCAAAAATTTTAAAAAATGGATATAGGCTGCACTGTGCACATCAAAGAACTTAATGAAATCTCCACTACCCACTCTAATTCTCTAATGCCCTTTCATCCATTTAGAGCCCGAATGTCAGTGAATCATTAAAGATCACTTGAAACACTTCTATTTTAGTATTCCATCCCCAGGGATGCTAGCTGCTCTCCAAGGTTCTGTAAAAAGATAGCCTCTTAATCCTCACTGTGCCCCTCCTTTCCCCATGGTGCTTTCCATGCTCCTTGATGTCTCCTCATCCCTCTTGGTGACTCCACTCCTCATCTTATCCTCCCATCCTTAAGGGTGCTTCCCCATACACCATGGTGTCTCTCCAGCATCTCTGTGAGAGTTCAGGTCCTAGGATACCCACCACTACTTGGCCGGTACCACATCTGCACACAATCTTCTTCTGGGTCTGTATGGATGTCATCACCAGGCTGGTTCCTGTCCCAGTAACTGTAGTCATAAGGAGAGCCATCTGTCCATTCAAACTGCCCTTCCTGGGGTCCATTCAGAAGCAAGGAAGTAGAGAGGAAGACCAAATCCTGGGTCAGCTCCAGTGTAGGTACAACATTATGGTACCTCATTCCTGCCACCTTGCATCAAAGCTCTTACTTGTAATGCGTCCTATTGTGGGATATTCCTGTACACTGTGTGAATATATGTTGCAGTGATTGGTTTAACAAAGAATCTGGGTGGCCAATAGCTGAACAGGATAAAATTAGTCAGGAAAGCCAAACTAAGAATGCTGGGGAGGAGAAGGGTGGAGTCTGGAGTGTCAAGCAGACTCCAAGAAGCAAAATGGGCATGCTATACTGAAAAAAAAAAAAGGGACCAAGCCATGTGGGACTCCACAGATAAAAATATGGATTAATTTAAATGTAAGAGTTAGCTAGTAACAAGCCTGAGCTACTGGCTGAGCATTTGTAATTAATTTTAAGTCTCCATGTCGGTTATTTGGCAACTGGCAGATGGGAAAGACATGTTTGTCTGAATATTATGGCTGTCAGCACTGCTCTTCACAGACACCTTGTTTGGTCCTTAGCATGTGAACTTGACTTCTTTTGTCCTCACTACTCTGCACTGCAGGCAATGCCATCCTCAGAAAACTGGCACATGGATGAGTTGGCCCAGATCCATCAGTGTTGGTACCCAAACCTAGGCAGATGTGACTCCAATACCCAACACCTAAGTACTGTCCTTTCTCAGTCAGTAAGACTTACTCCTCCTTAATTCCTTTTATTCAAATGTCCATGCTTTTCTTTCCTGGTCTGGAATAACGCCGTCTTATTGCAAGAGACATACTTCTGGAAATCTGATGGGTGCTGCAGTGAGTGTGAAAACCAACTGCAGAAAGAATGACACTGGCAGTGATGGGAGCAGGAGTCACACCTCTTTGTGTCATCTATTCTAGTCTTTAGAAGAGTACCTCTTGAAGCCTGGATGATTCTGAAGTCCTTTCTATACAGTGGAATAATAGAGAGGGGTGGGTAGAGCTCAAAGTTTCCTCTCTACTCACCTTCCTTGCTCTGTGACCTGGGCACATTACTCAACCTTTCTGAGACTCAGTTTCCCACTCAATACAGCAGGATTAATATCCTGGAGAGGTTTGAGGGTTGAGCAACTTTCAAAGTATGTGAATGGTCACACAGAGTCCAGTGCATGGAGCCTAGCTCCAAAAAGAAAAAGAAAAAAGACAGACCCTTTGTCTTGTTTGTTAGGATTATTAAGTCTCATAATACACATTCTTCCCCCTTCTTTTTTCTTTTCCTTCCTTCATCTTTCTTCCTTCCTTCCTTCCTTCCTTCCCCCCTCTCCTTTTTCCCGAGACAGGGCTTCTCTATATAGCTTTGGCTGTCCTGGAACTCACTCTGTAGACAAGGCTGGCCTCATAGATGTCTGCTTGCTGCTGCTTCCCAAGTGCTGGGATTAAAGTGTGTGCCACTACTGACAGACTATAATACACGCTCTTTAAATTATGATTAATTTAATTATGATAATTGTAGTTCTAATCTAATTTTATTTATTTGTATTGGTTAGGATGATTTTAATTAAAAAACTCCCAAGTCTTTGGGAAATACTCTAAAATATAGTTAAAACTAATCAAGAGTTTTAGTTGCACACTTTAGTTGGCACAGAGTGGTTCCCTCAGCAGAAATTTCCATACCATTCTACCTCTCCCTCCTTATTAAAAGGAGGACACTGGGACAGAGGTAAGGGACTGGCATGATCGCTAGTTTAATTTTAATGCTGCTACTTTAAATGGCAACATTTGTTTTATTATATGTTCATTTAGTCATTAGTTTTATGGTTCTGGGGATGGAATCCAGGGCCTCTGTGGGCTCTATCACTGTATCTCAAGTCCATATTACAAGTTCCTGTTTTTTGTTTGTTTATTTGTTTGAGGTTCTAGGGTTGGGACAGGAAGCCCAAGTTCAGGGTCTTCCAAAAAAAAAAAAAAAAAAAAAAAAAAAAAAAAAAAAAAAGAATGAACTCAGGGTGAGCTCAGGCAACCAAAAGACACTTCATCTCAAAAGAAACAGAGAAACAGTACAGTGGGCTGGGGATGTAGCTCAGTGATTGAGTGCTTGCTTATCTACTGTGTATTGAGCCTTGGGTTCAGTGATGCTGAAGGGGTTTAAAAAAACAAACAAACAAAAAGACCCTCATGTGTCTTGTTTCTGAGATTCCAAGTCAAAACAAAAACAAAGGCTTTTTCTGATTATCCTCTATGTTCTGGTCACACCCACTTCCAGGACTAACTGGAACAGGTCAGTGTCACATCCTTTTCCATGGTTGACTAGGCAGGTTGGTATCTATGTGCTGGTGCATAACTGTGACCTAGCCACTTTGTTAAATGAAAGTGGAGCCTTGGCTTGAGTTTCTCCATGGGATCTTATAGCTGTGGCTTCCTCAGCTCACCTGCCTGTGATCATGAAGGCCCATCCAAATGTCAGCAGGGATGTCAGGAACACAGCTGTTCACCAGGTCATACACAAAGATGTTCTCGTCCCAGCTGTGGATGTAGGAAGCACAGCATCAGTTACCACTGCTCCTTTCCATAGGACAGAGTCTGAAGCATGCTTGTTATTGTTTCTGGACTCAGTAAAAAGAAGAGGATGGAGGCAGACTGAATTGGTCCCTGAAGACCCAGGGACCCTGACTCCACTGAGATCGCTGGGTTATTCCGGTCCCCACAGAGTACAGAGGTAAGTTGCTTTAGTCCCTGCCTTGGGCCCAACTTCTGCCTGCCCATTCTGGGAAATCCCGCCCTGGGGTCTGCAGGCAGACTGAATCGGTCCCTGAGGACCCAGGGACCCCGACTCTGCTGAGATCACTGGGCTACTCCGCCCCCAGGCAGTGCTGAGTGCAGAGAGTGCAGAGGTGAGCTGCTTTGGCCCCTGACTTGGGCCCAACTTCTGCCTGTCCGCTCTGGGAACTCCTGCCCAGGGGTCTGTAGGCAGGTCGACTCGGCCGCTGAGGACCAAGCAACCCAGAGTCTGCTGACATATCTGCACTAGTCCTGCTCTCACCCACCTGGAGAGCGAGTGCTTCAGACCTGCCTGAACCCACCTTGAGACCCATCAGAGTATCAGAGTCAATTGCACCCACCTGAAGAGAATCCCAGACCCATACACACCAGGAAAGGAAGAGACACCACCTGCATCCACTGGAAGAAGAGAAGGTAAGATGACAATGTAAGAACACATCCAACAACAGGAAAACCAATATGACACCACCAGAGTCTAGGGACTCTACACCAGCAAAACAGGAATATCCCAACACAGATGAAGCAGAAGAGAGCAACTTCATGCAGATGATAGAGACCCTAAGAGAGGAAATCAGAAAATCCTTCAGAGAAATGCAAGAAAGATAACCCAAAAGATGCGAGAAATCAAGGAAAGCCAAGAAAATATAATTAAACAGCTGAAGGAAACAGTTCAGGACCTGAAAACTGAAATAGAGACAATAAAGAAAACACAAACTGAGGGAATGCTGGAAGTGGAAAAGCTGAGTAAACAATCAGGAACCACAGATGCAAGCATAACCAATAGAATACAAGAGATGGAAGACAGGATCTCAGATGCTGAAGATAAACTAGAAGAAATAAATTCATCAAGCAAAGAAAATCTTAAGTCCAACAAATCCTTAACACAAAATATCCAGGAACTATGGAACACCGTGAAAAGACCAAACCTAAGGATAATTGGTATAGAAGAGAGTGAAGAAACCAACTCAAAGGTGCAGAAAACATATTCAACAAAATCATAGAAGCAAACTTTCCCAACCTAAAGAAAGACATGCCAATGAAAGAACAAGAAGCCTACAGAATGCCAAATAGAGTGGACCACAAAAGAAAGTCCCCTCATCACATAATAATTTAAACACTAAATGTACAGAATAAAGAAAGAATATTAAGAGCAGCAAAGGAAAAAGGCCAAGTAACATATAAACGCAAACTTAACAAAATTACACTGGACTTCTCCATGGAAACTCTGAAAGCCAGAAGGACCGGATAGATATTCTACCAACTCTGAGAGAACACGGATGCCAGCCCAGACTACTATACCCAGCAAAGCTTTCAATCACTATAAATGGAGAAAACAAGAT